GGCAGGTTAAAATATAAAAATGTTTGTCATAATCATGTCTTGTGATTATATGACAGGAGTTTAACTTTTAAACTGTAAGTGTATTTAATTTAGTTATGTTAGTTATGATAGTTTAGTTATGATGTAAATACAATAAGAATTACAGCAAGATTTAGATTAGAATAATTAGCATTTTGATTCATACATTGGTAATGTCTGACTGGGCCTTTATGTTCAAAAAATTGGGCYCCGAGGTCAAAAAGGTTAAGAACCCCTTGTCTTAAACATGCAAGATAGCTGCCCTCGAGGACTGGAGTTTGACACCCCTGCTTTAAACTTTTTGTTCTGAGACCTAACTTCTGTTTGTGGTATTAAACAGTGTAACAATCTGTAACAGTCAGTATGGATATCACTGTTGTAGTACCTTTTAAGTGCCACACGATGGCGCCTCTTCTGTTAGAACATAGGATGTTGTGAATGCTAAGAGTTCAGAGCTAAAGCTTTGCTGTGTGTACGCGCTTGGCTGCTCTGCTGCTCAACCTCAGTAATGAATGATGGTGAAGGATCGTGGACTATTATCTATATATTCATGTATGAATGTAGATTTAGTGCCRTGGAGACCTGGCTTTGTATGGTTTCAAGATCTGTAATAAAGTAGTACATGTGGGAACCAAAAAGCTGTCGCTCTTTTCGGAGCTGCACCGTAGCACATGGTTTATGCTAAGCTAACTCTCCTACCTTTGCATTACAAAGCACAGTAGTTCAAAGGTTTTGTGGAGAGTGGTCAAAATAAGTAGCTGGTATTCCTAAGCTTTAGGAACTTATTAATCTGCCAACATCTGATGTTCATCTCATACTCAGACCATCTAAGCATAAGTGATTTAACAGTTGGTCTCACAGATGAACATTTAAAAAGCCTAACTTGTGTTTTCTTTGCTCATTGTCCAGCCCGTCGTCATTTACGAACCATAACAGATCTTTTTGGGACTGTCTTCACAATTGCTGTCTAGTTCTTTGATTCACACTACTTTCAGAAGATGTTCCAACGTTGCAAGACCAAATGAAGAAATACAGCAATTAAAAAGATTAACAAAATCTCTGATATGATATTTTCCACATACATTAATGTGAACAAAGCTTTACTTTAATTTTTCTCCTGTGATAATAGTAGCTGAAGTGAAATCACATGACCATTTGTCTTTAATTTCTCAGTTAGAGGACGTTCAAGCCTGACTTTGTAAAACAAACTGCAGTGAAATCTGGATTGTGACCAACAGGGTTCAATGTACAGTGAGTGTGAATATAGGTCTATAATATTCCTGTAAACACAGCACCACTTTCAGAAATGTTTTCATTCACATGGAAACACAGAAAACAACTCAAACATTGCAGTAACTAGGCCAGATTTGTATGTGGCAACAAAACTACACTAGAAAAGTGAAGAATTTGCTGAAGAAAGAAGAAAAAAAATCTAAGGATGGTGCATAGAAAAGCAACAACTAAATTTTTTTGTAGACTGATGAAGTAGAACCTCTACCTCGTGTCACTGTAATTGAGAGAAGTATAAGTACAAACATCTTTGAGTATAAATGTTGTTCTCATGTGGACAGAGCTTTATTCAGATGTAAAATTTGAAGGACTCAAAGTGCTCTTTTGGTTCTGTTTACAAAGACTGGGCCTCATGCAAGAACATGTTCGTATTCTTATCCTAAATGTCTCTTACTTTTGTTCGCACGAAGGGTTCGTACGAACATGTCACGTCAGATTCAACAAACTCTTCTATCTTCAGGAAAAGTGTGTAAATGAGCTGCGTAAATTACACCTGTTCGTATCCAGCTGCTCGTGCACGCAAGAGGAGATTAGCGTAATTACCACCCCAAAAACACCATATAAGGCTGTTTCCTGCCTCAAATACCAGGA